TTTTATTTTCAACAGCAGCTGATTAGGTCTCACTGGCTACCTGTCCTTATTTCAGAAGTCCCATAACCCATTTGAAGTACACCTTGCAGGGGCCTTTGCCCAGAAAGCTGTTTGAAATCACAAATAGCCCGCGTATTTGTATTATCCCCCCACCTTTTTCTTTCTCTCTGTCTCTCTTTTTTGATGGGGGGTGGGGAGCTGTGAGTGCCAGTAAGAGGAGGAATCTGGTCATATTAGTTCAAATTAGTTAGGTTTCCTAAATGTTCAGAACCAGTATCTATGCCTTCCACCTGTGGTTCTATCAAAGAAGTTAACATAGGGCCATTTGATCATCTGTGCAGAAATGGTGGGCTTGCAAAAAACGAAGTCAAGTTTAAAAGACTGTCATACAGTCTTTCATGTTTTTAATTATCTACTGTTTTCTTCATGATGATAATTAGAATTTTTGTCTTGGAATTCACTCCCACCCACCCCCACCCCCCGCCGCCCAGTCCCTCTCCCCGCCCCCTCGCCGAGCCTCCCGGCTCTGGCACACTCGCTGCCACCGCCGCCGCCCCCGGGAGCAGCCTCGGCCCGGCGCGCGCGCTGGCCCCGCGCCCCCGCCCGTCGGCCGCTCGCTCGCTCGCTCGCTTGCACTCACGCACGCACGCCCGGTAGTAATTTCACTTTGCCACGGGAGTCATGCAGGGGGAGGAAGCACATTAGCGCGGCGTACGGAGGAGGAGGGAGAAGGAGGAGGAGGCGGAGGAGGGAGGGAGGAAGGGGGGAGGAGACGAGGAGCAGGGGAAGAGTGTGTCGGGGGAGTTAACCGGGAGAGGAAGCCAGGGAGGGGGCTGCGGGCGGTGCAGGGAAACAAAGCGGACGCGCTCTCAGCCTTTGGCAGCTGCAGCTTTCGAGGGCCGCGAATAAAACAAGTTTCCGGGGTCGAAGTGTCTGTCTCTCAGGACCAGACTGCTGAATGGATCCCCTGGGAACTGAGCGACCCTCCGCAGGGGAGCGCGCCCCGGGCTGCCAGCGCCCACGAGATGCTCAGGACAGGCTGGCCGGGGCGAGTGGGTGTCCGCGGCACGCGCCCTGGGCGCTCACAACCAGCGCGCATGGGTAGGACAATCGGAGGGGGCACAATGACAAGGGAAGGCGCTGCAGTCTGCACACTCTGGGCACTATGCGAGTCTTGCAAGCTGGGACTAGGGGTTTCTCGCTGGCACGCGGCCAGACTCGAGCCCCGGGCGCTTTCCCGTTGTCTTCCTTCCTCACTCCGGACGGGTGCGGCGCTCGCAGCCGGACTCTGCTCCACGCCTGGCAGGAGCTGCAGCGGTCCGGGCTCTGTCCCGCGGGGGCGCGCACCACGTGCTAGGCAGCCAATCGCTGTGGCCGCTTGATTCAAAGCCAACTCAAAGGAGCTACCACGCCAGCTCCTCTCCGTAGCGTTAAAGCCTCCATTCCCTCTGTCCGACCAGGCCCCTTCTGTTTTTTTTTGTGGGCTGGTGGTGCTTGGACGGCGTTCAGTAGAGAAGTGGCTCGGGCACGCATTTAATGCCCCGCGTGCCAGGAGGGAAAGGCACGGCACAAAGTAGCTTCCCGCGGCGATGCCTTTTTATTGAATCCTGTTTTCTTTTTGCGTTAAGTGCTTGCCTTGCCACTGGGAATAAAGTATTGGAATAATAAGGTCTGGGACGACCTGCATAGATTCCTGGCCCAACCCATCCCCCTCCCGTTTCACAGGTGAGAAGACTGAGACCGAGGAAGGTGTGCCGCGCTTGGTCCCCACTCCAGGGTGAGCGCCGCACTGCCGCGTTCACCCCTTCCTTCCCCCTCCGCTTCCACCGCTGCAAGCTGTGTGTAAAACACCGGCTGCGGAAATGGTTTCCCATGGCCAAGGATGCTGCCCCTGGCGCTTTCAACAGTCCGGAGGCCTCTGCAGTCCAGGACTGTGGGTCGCTTCCTCTAATCCTACTCGCCTCCGCCCGCATTAGCTCCTGGAAGTCTGGCTGAGAAACCGCGCTCCTTGCGAAGACAGACAGTGCCCTCTGAAGTCCTTTGCTAGCATTAACTAGTCAGCCTCACCACAAGCCTTAGGAAAAAAAAAAAGTTTCACGTTACATTTGGTTATGCACAGCCTCTGCTGGAGACTTCCACCAAGTCAGAGATGGCCAGATGGAGTCCCCTGAAGAACCACGTGCAGAGCGCCTGGGAGCGGTAGAGTGGAGAGGGGAGCCGGGAGGGCCGGTTCCTAATGGGGGCTTTGGGTGGACACGCTGCCGCCGCCAGAGATGGGTGCTGAAGAGATGGGAGGGGAAATGTGCAGTATTGCAGGTAGGTCTTTTTCAGGCAGGTTTCTGTAGCCTGTGGCAAGATGTAGGGGAAGGTGATTGAGGCAGATTCCAGTGCACCTCCTAGGCAGGCTCTGTCTGTCTATCTCGGCTGTGGGTCAAAAGCAAGCATGTTGGCTTTGAAGAACAACTGTTAATGCCTTCCATTTGGGGGAAGGAGCCTGTAGGTTAAGAATCAGCACTTTTTTTTTTTTAATTAAGGAAAACTACTTCTTACTTCAGTCACTTACTGAAACTATATGGAACCGGATCTAAATGACCCTGATGCAATGGAGTATGTCCATGGCTCACTTGGTTGGCTGGGGATTTTGCCCCAAGGAAGCTGCGATGCTAGGGACAGGTCTTCTGTTTCTGTTGCCTCTTTTCCACCTGGAACCTGCAGAGAACATTTAACTAAGGAAATAGCAGAGTTCACGTCTCCTTACAAGGAGCTTTGCTAAGCAGGCATGACTGAGAAAGGAACAAAGCCCTCTGGCCACTGTGTTGTCCTCTATTAATGCCATTTTGCTGTGGCTTTTCTGCCTCCTGTGGCCACTTTCTGTGTTTCAAGAAAAGGAAAAAATAAAAAATAAAAGGCCATAGTCTGGAAAATCTTGAGATACGTTCCCTGACCATAGATATTTGTTTCATCTGCTCAGGCAGATAAGCAGCACAAGGGAAAAATAAATTAGTTTATGTAAGTTTAAAAAAAAAACCTGGAAAGCATTTTCTTGCTGAAAGACACAGGAACAGAACTTGCATTTTGGGAAAATGTGTGCTGCCAGTGACCTCCTACATGTGCGTGGTTTGTTTGAAGCACTGTGTGAAAAGTTTTCAGGCTGTTGGGCAGTTTCTAATATTTGTCTCCCAGCTGAAAGTGATTTGCAAGTTAGCATTTTTATGATCATAGCAACTCTCACTGTGTAATTCCTACAGCATCTCTCAGCCAATGCTAAGCATAATTCTTATCACCCCACTCACACGAAGCAAAGATGAGCAAGTCTTGTAGCATTACAGGAAGAGACTTCTTAATGAGGCTGTCATCAAACTGGACAACAATGGACACCAGATATCTGAGCCACAAACACTTCAGAAAACACTACCCGTTCCCCATTGTACCACAGCCAGCACCTCGGCAAAGACATTAGGCTGGTTCCAGGGACCTAGGAGAGTCAGTCTTTGCCTCTGCCTTGTGACACCAAACCAAGGTCTCATTTTTTTTTTTTATGTTATTAAGAAGCTGTGCCCAAGGCTTTGGCCTTGTTATCTCCCTTAACAATGTTATTTTGTTGGACTGCAAAATAAGCAGCATGGGGTTAAATGTATTAGCTGCCTTCCAACCTCATTTATCTTCATTCCTTCCTAATTTACACTCCGGCTGAATTAATGAGAATGATTTAATTAACACTGTGCGATCATGGTACCGGGGACAGGACAGCTCAGGGGATTAGGCCAAACAGTGGGCCAAGCAGCTGCCATCCTGCTTCCTGTGGTCTCCCGAAGCCCTGACGACTCTCAGACACGTTCCCTACTGGTATTCCAGCGCGACTTCTTTGTTCTTTTCTGGACTCTGCCAGGGAGATGGCACAGCTTTCCTGCCTTGTTACTTGCTAAATGGGCTTCAAGTCTGTGCCCTTGTGGAGTCAGCATGGCTCAAGGGCCAGCTGCCCGCCACAGGCCACAGACTTGAGTTCCTCCAACGGGTCAGTGGATGCCCAGGTGTGGGGAGGGTGACATTTCCCAACTGCACATTTAGTGAGATCAGCTCTTGTGGAAGGAGGGGAGGGGAGCAGAGGGGACCAAGAGAGAAGCTGAGCTGGGATGCAGTCTTAGTTGGAGCCTCGCCAATCCCAGGGGGCGCTCTGGAGCTGAAAGGGCCCCAGGGAGTTGTCCATGGTGACTGCAGGGGGGCCAAGCTTTCCAATGGCGAAGTTAGGCAACTGCTGAATGCAGGCTACCCAGGGACTGCAGCCTTGGGCAAGGCGCGCTAGTCTGAGAGGTGGTTCTGAAGAGGGCTGACAGCCCAGAGCCTTTTGTACCCACACCTCCAGCAGCTGGAGAAATCAGCCTCTCCTTCCCAAAGGAGAACCTGAGGGACTCGGCTCAGTGCCGTGCCCACTTCCACACGTTACCTAGCACAAACTTAGAAAAACCTGGCTGTTTAGGAAAGAGAGAATAAAGAACAAAGATCATCAATACAAGAAGTAATTAGAGGGCTGGCGACGTGGCTCACTTGGTTAATCCTCCGCCTGTGGCGCCGGCATCCCCTATGGACGCCGGATTCTGTCCCAGTTGCTTCTCTTCCAGTCCAGCTCTCTGCTGTGGCCCGGGAGTGCAGTGCAGGATGGCCCAAGTGCTTGGGCCCCTGCACCCGCATGAAAGACCAGGAGGAAGCACCTGGCTCCTGGCTTCGGATCAGCGCAGTGCCGGCTGT